CTAATAATTTTTCCACATTATCTAATTAATCAAAGGCATAACATGCCTAATTTTAGGGTAATACTTCACACAACACTATTTTTCCCTCCAAATTTCTTATCAGTTTGTATATGACTATGAAGTATATACCTACTAAGCAGGTATCTACAAAAGTATGAAGGCTATTGCTTAATGCATTGTAAGCCGCCCTGAGTCTCCGGAGAAGGGCGGCATATATAAATTGAACTAATAAATAAATAAATTTCAATCGATCTTTTCCTCATTTGTGAAATAGCTGATGAAATGGCTCCCATTCATTGTCAAAGTGTGGACAAGGGCATGTTCTCAGTCCTGTTGTGGTGAGGGATTTTTTTTACTTGTGCCCTAGTCTCCTCCTGATTGTTAATTCATTTTGTCTAAATATATGATTCCAGAATTTTTATATCTGGAGAAGACCTGGGCATAGTAGAGCACTACATATACTGTACCTTGGCCAACAGATCTTAATAGAAGGTGATACGATAAAGGAAATTGAACGGAGTGTTAAATGTGGTTGGCAGGCTTTGAGCAAGCTAAGCATAATTTTCAAGAACAACCTCCCCCTATGCCTGAAGAGAAAAGTTTTCAATCAGTGTGTGCTACCTGCTCTAAGATATGCCGGTGAAGCATGGGCACTAAGCTCACAATCGATACAAAAGCTACGAAGGGTGCAAAGAGCATCACAAGACAAGATAGAAAGACCTGCACATGGTTTAAAGAACAAATAAAAGTATACAATATCATCAAGAGACTAAAAGAATTGAAATGGAAATGGGCTGGTCACATAGCAAGAAGAACTGATGGCAAGTGGATTAAGGCAGTCATAGAATGAATCCCATTTGATAAAAAGCATCCATGAAAGAGACCTAGAACAAGATGGATTGACGACATCGGCAAGTATTGCAGGCCCAATTGGCAAAAGAAAGCTCAGGACTATATTGCTGGAAATATGCGGAAGGAGGCCTTCATCCTGCAGTGGAGAGACAATGGCTAAAATAATGATAATGATGATATATGATTTGAAGTAGGCGTTTTCTGTAAAAGCCTCTTTCCTCCATGGTAAAACTCACTTAAAATTGACTGATAGTTGAACATCATAGATCCTGGGTCATTGTTGTACTTGATCACTGAGGAGGCATTGCCGTGTTATTAGACAACCACGGGGTGAGTTAATGGTAGCACATATCTACCTAAAATCAGGTAGAAATCAGGTAGACTAAAATGTTCTACCCTTAACTTACCCCATTTTGAGGTAGTTTATCTTTTGGAAATTAACAAATGAATATGTGATTTGCTGTGACATTTAATATTCTTCTGTTGAAACAAGGCTTTATTGCAAACAATACAATAAATGATACAGAGAATTTTTTTCTCCTGTTATTTTTATATTAGTTCCAAGAGTTTGCAGTGGTTGAATAGATGGGGAAAGCCTTCATATTTCATTCTGTGATCATTTGAAATAAGGTTCAGTGCAGGGTCACTTCACTTTTACCTTCATTTTTCAGATGGGTTTCTGGATGATCCTGCCAGTTCAAACATTGGATGACAGGGGAACGAAGGACTTTTAACTACTGTTAGTCTTCAAAGAAAATACGCAACAATACTAAGAAAATTTTCATGGCAAAGAAATCAAGGGAGTGCTCTGTAATTTTAAAGACCAATCCACAATCTTTTTTATCCATACCAATTTAGTATAGATACAGCTGATTTACTACTCATATGCCTGACAAACCTTATTAAATTGACTTCAGCTTTAGAGTGGAATAGGACCACGTGATGGATCCATCTCTTCCTGCCACAATGGTATGGAAATAATCTTTTCTCTATTATGTTTTTCATTTCTGTGAACTTATTCCTTTGGAATAAGTTCTGGTTATTTCTGGCAACAGCTGGGTGACCGTCTGTGCTCAAGAGCTAAGAAGGGTTAGTCCAGGTTAATACTTGGATGGGACATTGCATGGCTTTAGGTAGGCGAGAAACTTGAAATAACATTTTAGGAGGTGCAGAAAATCCATTTTCTCTTCCAGAGTCAGAAACAAAATTTCATATTATATATGAACCTTTTGTTCATTACTCCTTATGTGTTAAAAAGCTATATTTCTAAATTAAGCATGCAGAATGTCAACTGCTCCATAAAAAAGGTTTTCTCTATCTTTTCAACTAATAACATCTCTCTATTGAAGGTGCAATAGGCCAAATATGTCTTTGCATCGGTATATAACCTGATTGTGTTCAAATGATTTTTCACCCAAGGGCAGTAGAGAAGATATTGGAAGTGGTTCACATTTAATTCTCTGATATATCATGGCCAAGATGGTAGTAACCAAATGCAAAAGTAGTGAAAGAACAAATAGGAAAATTTTGTCAAACAAGATGAGGAAGTCACATTGAACTGCTATTGGTCTTCTATTCAGTGGTCTGATTTGCACTTCCTTCTTGTCCAGCAGATGAGCCACCTACCATTTTGGAACAATGGGAATGGAGGACATTGTCAGCTTGCTCTTTAGCAAAAGTAGCATTTCGCCCACCTTCCAGTGTAAATAGAGTGGTCCAGTCTGATTGCTGGGTTTTATTTTCTCTTGCACAAAAGCTTCTGTTTGCTTTATTCAACTGGTATGTGTTTTGGTGGGCACCTCCCCTGGCTGCTTGGTACATTTATTTTTATGGGTTCTTTGTCGAAATGGTGAAGTGGTGAAATGTTGGCTATTAATATATATTGTACATATTATTATACAATAAAATATATATTGTATATATTATAATTCCTTTTACCAGGTTCGGCAGAGGAAAGATGAAACACTGACTTTTTTAGTTGAGCAAAATCGATGAAAATTCTGTCCCCCCTCTGCCTGTCAGTGCTCAAAAGACTCACCCAAGCAAGGAAAAATAATTGGTGTTTACTTTCCTGAGTGGGCCAGAAAAAGAAGCAGGAGAAACCACTCCTTGGGGGGAGCATGTTATCATTGTCCAGATGAAACACTCATCTGGCCAAAGCATATAAATCTGGCAAGAATTCTTATGCCACTTTATGCACAGGAAGCAAGTAATGGAAGGTTACAATCCTCAAAAACCTCATTAAATTAGCACAATTAATTACAATATAGTATATATACATATTTATGAAACAAAGTTATAGTAAGAACCATCAGCCCTTTGAAATTTCCAAGTATATCTAATGCCGATGTGCCATTCTGTTCTTCAAAAATACATGTTAACAAGATCAGGGAAATAAAAATGCCCAAACAACAGAATTTATTTTTTTAATTGGAATCTTTTGAAACTAATAAAGTAATCCTGGGGCCCTTACACAGTGCAATTCAGTTAATTTTTTTTCTATGTTTTATTTATATCAATGAGAAGGGTAGTGTAGCGGATGAAGCATCAGGCTAGATACCAGGCAACTGTGAGTTCTAGCAAAACCAGCTGAGTGACCTTGGGCCAGTCACTCTTTCTCAGCCCTAGGAAGCAGGCAAGGGCAAACTGCTATGGAAATTTTGCCAGGAAAACTGCAAGGCAATCAGGTCATTATCTCTATTTCAATGTAGGCTTCACCACATTTTAAAGGTATAATAGTTTGCCAATGTTTGGATTTCTGTATAATATAATTTGATATTATCTATAAAAATATGCAGGCTGAGCATTCGTAGGAGCAGATACCTTACATAGTTTGACATTTTCAACCCTAATCCTAGATCTCATTCTAGATCTCCAGAGAGGAAACGCTGCAGTTTGAAGTATTTTTTAGCTCGTGAGGTTTTCAAAAACTCTGGTTCAGCAGTTGAAAACTGCAGCTTCAAGCTGGGCTAAAATTTCAATTATGTGTTTTCTCATACACAGAGAAAAGAACTGTTTTGTCTTTGAGAGAAAACGACTAAGAGAAGTCTTTGAAAGAAGAGTCTTCAGGCCCTCTTGTACCTCCAACGATGCTCAGAATGGGGCATGAAGTGCCAGCATGTCCAAGTCAGGCTGCCATTCCACTTTCATGAACCTCAAAAAGCAAACACAATAGAACAAATCCTCCACAAAGCATGAAACAGATCTCCTCAGGCTCCTGTGAAATGTGCTGTGTGCTCAAGAAAGTATATTGCAATTTCATTGTATTCCTTTGTCTCTCACAAGGAGGACACATAATTATGGAAAACTATTTGTGCACTACAGTACATTGAGAAAGGGGAAGTGGTTTCCATCATCACTCCTTTTTTCTCTCTGCCTTCCTTCCTTCCTTCCTTCCTTCCTTCCTTCCTTCCTTCCTTCCTTCCTTCCTTCCTTCCTTCCTCCCTCCCTCCCTCCCTCCCTCCCTCTCTCATCAGTTGAATATCTAATTTTAGGAACAATCTTTTAATGAACTCCAAGACTTTATTTATAAAAACTGAATAGAAAAACCCAAATCCAACCTGTCTTCCCCCTCCCTCCCTCTCTCCCACCCCCCTCCCTCTCCCACCCCCTTCTCTCACACACAGCCATTTGCCATTTAACTTCTAGGAAGTAAGTCTTTCAAAGTATCTTAGGAGTTTGAAAGAACTCTAAAAACTAAGAAAAGTCAGGAAAATCTCAAACCAAGAAGACTCCTTAAATGTGTTCCAGGGTCTTAGAATTAGAAACTGTAAGCAGGATGACCTGAAGAGACTTGCATGGTAACACTCTCTACAAAGGGCAACATATTTTGATGTGCCCATCTGCCTAAGCTTTAAGCATTAGAGCTCATACTGTAGGCTTATTCCTCCCTCCCCCGCATCCCACCTCCAAATGGGAACTCTAAGTATCTTAATGTTACTTATGCAAAGATCTAAGTCTAGGCAACTGGGCACCTAGAGCTTTTCAGCAGTATAACTTACATGAGTGTGCATATCTCCCATGAAAATGTCCTGCATCTCTCTGTAGGTAAGCTCTCATGTTTGGACAACATGGGGAGGAGGCGGGGTGAAATGCTACCGGTTCGAACTGGTTCAGGCGAACCTGTTAATGCTGGATGAATCTAACCCAATAACTCACAGGAGACAATGGTATCTCTTCATTGATTCTTTATTCTAGGCCTGGAGTCCTCCTAGGCCCAATTCAGGGTAAAGGTCACTGACCTCTGTCTTGTCTTTGCAGGCACACATCTGGAACTGCTGGATGCCCACATGTAGGACCCTTTTATATACCAGGGGAGGAGTCTGAGGTAAGGGGGTATGATGGGATATGGGGAGGTGCCAGCCCCTGCCTGGGAGAATTAGACATTTATCCTGACAGAACCGGTAGTAATAAAAGCTACCAGTTTGGGCGAACCTGTAGTAAAAAAAATGCTACCGATTCGGATGAACTGGTATTTCCGACAATCAGCTGTGCTGTGTGATTTATATTCGCTAGAAAGCAGTAAATCCTGCTTACCAGTGAATCTAAATCATGCGGCACAGCTCCTCGCTGTTCTACTTACCTTAGAAAAGGCTTCTTAATCCTCCTTTTTCAGTGCTGCATGGTAGCTCCTGCAGTGCACCTGCGTGCAAAGCGTGCGTTTGAGGCGCACTGTGCATGTGCATGTACAGCAAACTGGTAGCACAGCAAACCAGTAGCAGACTTCAGAGCATTTCACCCCTCGGAGAAGGATATGTAGGGCAATGATCTGGACATGTAACGGGCAGAAGGAATCACTCTGAGAATAGGAGGGCTGCAATGAAGATAATGGTTAGATAAAAGAAATTTGAGTCTGGGCCAAATTGGTAACACAAAGTAAGCGCCTCAGACAGACCATCCCTAGTTCTTATAAACATAAAGGAAGGGAAGTACATTCAGACTTGTAAGATTATATTACTATAACCTTATAATAAACATATTATAACCTTATAATAAAGGTAGCATAGCATGTATGATTCCGATTTCCTATTTTAGTCTACCTTGGAGGGCTGTCAACACCTGAAGCAGGTTCTAAGTGTTAATGAAATACTTGGCAAATTATCTCCTTGCCTTCCCCATAAATATTTCCATACATCCCCAAGGCATATTGCATTTGGCAAGGATAGGAACTTGAACCAGAAGTCATTGTAAGCAATATCAGAATAAAAGCAAAGTGGTTTTCATCATGTGAAACCCCTATGCCTCAACCTCAAAAATAATACTTTTTGACAGACTCAACAAGAAATTTCCATTTGGAATGTCTTTTTAGTAACTTTGGCCAGATATCAGTAGTTTGTAGGCCATTCTGGGCCAACAACTGTTACTGCTCAAGCTTCACAAAATTAGGGTTAGACTAAATTGGCTCAGGAGTTCCACTTTCAATAATTTGGGATTGACAAACTCTTTACTGATTCTGTGAAGAGCAAAACTCGCATTCTACTTATAAAGATAATGCTGAGGGGAACATCTTTTTCTGTTTTTTTTGCTTTTAGCATGTGACATATTTTTGTAAACCTAATAGACTCACCATAGAGGCATTCATAAGAGTCCACATTTGTGAAGAAGGTTTCATCTGGACAGGCTGACCAATTAATCCTAGTGATCTCTGTGCAGAAGTAAAATTTTACTTAACTAAATGTATATGTTATCTATAACCTACCCCAGAATTCTCCAAGTGGTAAATAGTATTTATTAAATTATTTTCATAGAATAAATGTTTAGGGTTGATGAACAACCTGAAAGTACATGAAGGGATCAATAAATTGAAATCTTTGATCTAGATGGGAAAATGGATAGGGTAGGATGATTTGGCAAGATCAGTGGTGGCTTTAAAAAATTTTTACTACCGGTTCTGTGGGCGTGGCTTGGTGGGCGTGGCAGGGGAAGGATACTGTAAAATCTCCATTCCCTCCCCACTCCAGGGGAAAGATACTGCAAAATCCCCATTTCCTCCTGATCAGCTGGGACTTGGGAGGCAGAGAATAGATGGGGGCGGGGCCAGTCAGAATTTTTACTACCGGTTCTCCGAACTACTTAAAATTTCTGCTACTGGTTCTCCAGAACAGGTCAGAACCTGTTGAAACCCACCACTGGGCAAGATAGAAAGTAATCTTTTGTTGTTTTTTAAACACAGATCATGATCAATTCTGTCACAAGCATCAAGGAGACTGAGTGATGGATTGTGTCCCATTAAATCCTCTGACTTATAGAACAATTATTATCAGTGAAAAGGAGAGACGCTGGCTCCCCAGTAACTCAGTATCTGTTCTGGAGCAAAGTATGAGGGTTTAGGTTAGAGCAATAACTGCAGGAGGGAAGAGAGAATGACCAATATGCAAAAGTCTGTTCATAAAAAGTGGGATACTTTCAGTGGTGGGCTGCAACTGGTTTAACAACAGGTTCGGTGATCGCACGCTTTGTGCGCATGTGCACCTAACACGCTTGTGCGCAGCATTCAAAATACAGTAATTTGAAGCTCAGCTGCTTACCTGGTAAGCAGCTGGCATTCCCGGTAAGTAGAACAGCAGAGGCGTGGAAATCAGCTGTACTGCGTGAATCAGCTGAGCCAGAAAGAAGGAAATATAGGACTGGTGGGCGGGGCCAGCTGATAGTTGGAACTACCAGTTCGCCTGAACCAGTCTGAACCGGCAGTAGCCCACCACTGGATACTTTCCAACTGAAAATTACTGCGTATGTTCTGCTTGGCTATCACTTCTTATGGAAGAAAAATGGTACAGTATAGAAAAATATACATTATTATGAATACATTCATAAACAGCTTTTGGTTTAGTTTTTAAAAACCAGATTTAGAATGAAATATTTGAATGCTGAGCCAGAAATTTTAGAAAGATTCAAGAGGCCTCCCCTCTTCACCTTCTTAAGCAGTAGAATTTCAAGGTAATAGAAATATGCTTTTGCTGAAAACTTGAGTGTTCTCAAGGAATGGGAGATCGAGAATATGAAGAATAGCAGAAATAACTTTTTTGTAAATTTGGCATGACATCCAGGCCAGAGAAAACATAATGGAAAGTGGAAGGAAAGAGAAATTTGAAATTGGAGATATTTTCATAGATATTTCCATTAGTTCACTCAGTTCAGGAGGATTCCTACATCCTTGGAATTTGCCAGGAAAACTGGAGTGTATTGGAAGGGATTGGGGCAAAATAAATCAGAAATTATAGCAGGGATGCCATTATTTATATAAAGAAGTAAGTCAATGGTAACATGAAAGGTCAGTGGGAGAAGTATTTGAAATTAGACTCACTTAATGAAGGAATTATAGGTGATCGGAAATATTATTGCTCTGCTTCATTAATCTGTCAAAAATATCTTCTGTGGGAGAATTTGCTAGGGTGAAAAGTAGAATAGATAACTTAATATCCATAATGGATTTGGCAGAGACTGGCTATGTCTGAGCACTAAATTTTAGTTTATAGTGATCTGTTTTATGGAGTGGCAATAAAATTTGTCCCCTGGCTTGGTTTACAGTTTTTTAAAAACTACCTTCTGAAAGAAATAACAAACACAAAATGTATTCAGTTCTCAAAGTTATATGCTTCCCTTCATCTGCAGTTAATTTATGTGTAACCAAACATGCCTAGGCTGAAATTATAATCAAAATGGCATACTTTAATCTTAAAATAATAACAATATCAGCAGCAGGATAGAATAATATGGACCAAAAAGCTGTGTTAGGAAGGTTTCTGGGACAGAGCATGTCCTAGCTATGTTAAAAAACCATGATGGCATTGAAGATACTCCTGTCTTTCATTGCCAGCAAAACTATGCTAGAAGAACCAATGTCTCACCCAGAAAACAGCAGCTTCTGATGTCCTTAGGGGTTATGAGCTAGGTGTTCAGAGAAGACTTGGTAGAAAATCAAAGATTCGGCCTATGATCTGGGACAATTTCTTCAGAAAGTCATATTTCATAGAGATGGCAGCTAGTGATCTTTTAAATAGTACTTTTCATGCAAACAATCTTGCAGGAAAGCAAGATTGAATCAAGGCTCTTCTTTCTTTGATCTTGTGGATACAAGGCTGCTACATGTTTTCCATTTCCTTCCAAAGATCTGTTGTGGTCCGCCCGCAGCCTCCAGAGCTGGCAGCAGAGTCGGACAGTGAGGAGGCTGGGGAGGAACATGGGCCAGTCCAGGATTCTGGGGAAGGCTCAGACAAGGGCTCTGCGTCGGAGGCAGAGATGGGGCCAGGGGTATCTGGGAGTTATATGCGGACTCCGGAGCCTCCAGAGTCGGACATCAGAGACGCAGAGGAATAGGGGGAGCCTGTTCCTAGTGTGCACATGCGCAGAGCTGCCAGAAGGCAAGAACAGTTAAAACAAAAGGGATGACTCGGGAGTAAGGCTTGGTGATGATTGGCCCCTCCCATAAGACATAAAGGAAGAGCAAAGGCACGTGGGCCTTTGCAGGAAGCAATGTTGTACTTTGAAGCTCTGTTTTTGACTCTGTGTTTCCGTGTGGCCTTGCCAAGATAATTGCCAATTAGGTCTTTGATAAGAAGATAAAGGTGGGTGTTTACCAGCCTTATCCGAAGGACTGTGGTAGACTTCTGTTGGACTATTTATAAACTCTGTGTGATTCAGCATGTGCTGTGAATGAAAGGAATTCACAGCCATTAAAATAATAAAAAATGGGTTTTGGGACTAATTGTGTGCTTTTTACTATATCAGGAAGCCTAGGTCAGAACAAGATCTAGAGAACTTATCTAGCGCCAAGTTGAAGAGAGCAACTTGGCAGCCACGGAGAGTCAACCATGTTTGTAAAATTTCCATGGGGTGGGATTAGAATGCCTCTTCACCTTCTATCCTGTGCCAGAAAGTAAGTGCCTTTCTGGGACTTCAATATGTGTTTAGTGAATGTCATTGTGTTCCGCCTCCAAGTTATATTTACATGGAAACTTTTGAAAATGTATGCAAGGACTTGATCCTTAACATTGCTGGCTGCATCCTTCACTCCCTGGGCACCTGGCTATTGTTGTGTTGTGAGTTTAGCATCCATGCAAGAAGTTTTCTTTGCCTGATATGTTCTGAGACCACGGTCAAGGCTTAGAAAAGTCTGATTGTTAGTGACAAAGTGAACTGTGCGTGCTGATTGACAGCATATGTCTGGAAATGAACTTGCACTGAGTGCCAAGGGAAAGAGACTGGAAAAGGGGAAAGCCTTTATTTTTCTCTAGAAATGGAAAATATGCATGAGATATACATTTTGCGGGGCCATTGAAAATATTCTTTGTCATGGAATGTTAATCATATATGCTCACATACCATGCC